GATGTCTCTTTGCTGGCCAATATTGTTGATTGTTTTATTGTACTTCATCAAGGATCAAAGTAGAAGGGTGCACTAAAGACACTTTTATTTAGGATCTCCTGCATTATTGCATTTCCTAACCGATCTTTATGAAAATTTATTGCAATAGCCATTCTTTTTTTTCAAAAGTTTTTTTGAGAAGCCAAATGAAACCAGAATAGATATCACATACGTACAGCTTGATATGAAATGATCTATTGTGTCTCCCACGAGGCACACTGAGCAAAATCGAGTTGCTGCCATCCCAAATCTTGCACCGTTGCACGGTGAGCGCCTACACCGGCATGCCCAATACGTAGCCGCCAGCCGGGCTAGAGCACATTATAGTGGTCTAGGCAACGCAAGGAGCTGTAATCAATGTAAGTAATGCTATCATCAAGGCTGTATCTAAATTGACCACAACCAGAGTTAGCCATTTATGTTTGCCAGTATCCATGCCAATGTCAGCTGAAGGCCAGAGTTAACACTCAAAGAGACTCCTCAAAAGAGAGTATAGAGCAGGAGGACCTGTCAGCACTGCGTACTAGGTTTGCAATCTGATCAGCAATCTCATTTCCAGCAACCCCACCCGGGCCCACTATGACCCCTCACCCAGCAAAAATGAATAACAATACCTCAACATAAATTAAAGACTGCCACCCAAATGACCCAATATATTTAAATATATGCAAAATTCAAAAAAATAAATAAATCATGATTTTTTTATAAAAAATCAAGTGATTTAGCAATCACATGATTTAGGTAATCATTTTGATTTAATCATTGTCAACCCTGTCTTGGAAACTTGGTGGATCAAAATAATATCGAACCATCAAAATTAGAATTCCATCCTACAATATCAGCCACACCCTTTATTCCCATCACCCATGATCCATGCCAGGGTGCAGAGGGTGGATGCAGCGTCGCCAATATATGGGTTTTTAAGCCCTAAGCATCGCCGGGTAATTTTAAGATGCATCGCCTAGTAATTTTTAATGAAAAGCCATTTACGCTGAGTAATGAAAAACTATTTACAAGCCACAAAGTTATTTACAAGGTTGCATGCACGTGTTACCCCAAGTAACTAATTTTACCATAAAAACAGTCCGATTGTACAGCAAGTGTCAACTGAACATGTGATAATGCAGTCTGACTGCTCTAATGTGACCGCAACTTAGTCTACAGTGTGGAATTCTGTATAGGTAATATATTCTCATGTCAATATAAGAAAACGTATCGAAATACCAACCCTACCACCGCGTTACACCACCTTCCACTGCAATGAAAATTGATAAATTGAGCTCATTTGAAACAGCTGTGCTTCCAAAATCGCGCGTGGTTTGAAATCCAATCCCGTGTTGCTAACGACTAATCAAGTTAACTAGTCGTTTATCTGTAGGCTAGCGGACACATTTTTGCAATGAATACATTCTAAAATAGAAAAAAAAACACATCCAGCTTTGTAAAAAATTTTCACGATTGGACAACACCCACAAAGTATTCGATTTCACACAAAATTATGAGATAAACTTCGACTCTTTCACTGCGTACATTCACATGGTGTTTTCGGTTTACTTCTCACAAGATGGTGTCACACACTTATGTTTTGGTTGTGTCTAGTTTGATTTCACAATAAATAGACTTGATTCACATTCCATTCTGAGATTGATATGATTGAAAGTTTTTTTTAAATTATAAAAACCTATTTATACATTCCAGATTTGAATTTCTTGCCCTATTATCTTGAATTTATCTTGATATATTTACTTGAAATTCTGAATTATTTTGTCTGCCATCCCGCGTTTTCGAATGTTTTGTGTCTTTTAGAAAATTTTCGTTGTTTAACATGGGAAACTATTTCATTATATAAAACATAGAGCACTGCCATATAGTGCATTAATAATACAATTTAATTCAATAAAAATTAATTTTTAATTTAAAAATATAATCAGATTTTTAATTCAACATTTTTCTAATAGAATTTAATTCTACAGCATGTACCATCTAGTAATAAATAATAAATTTTGATTTAGTAAAATTTGATTTTATTTCATTTTTCAATTTAATTTAATTCTACAGCTTTAACCGGTAAAAATGAGCATCATAGGAATCAGAGTACAACTGTCATTCATACATCACAAATTGAATGACATTGGATGGATTTGATAGGTATTTTATTAATCCTGTTTATATATAAGAACGGAAATGATGTTTCTATTTCAGAATGATAATGGAAATGTTTCTACTATTTCAGAAACTTTTCTTGAATACACTTCCAAAAACTAAAGTTCTGTAATCAATGGAGTCTTTGAAATGACAAAATCTTTCAATTTAAAATTTTTAGCTATAAGAGTAAGATCGTCATTTGTCAATATGAGGAGCATTCATTCGTCATTCCTGAGGAGCTGTAAGGAAAAATTTGTTGTTTTCTATATAAAAGGATGTTTTTCAATTAAAAGAAATGCAATAATTGATTTTTGGAAATATGATGTTAAAATTAACGATCCGTATTAGAATTCAATAGACGTTACGACTTACGATTTCAGAATTATCTTCAGAATGTTTGTTGTCGTTCGTTTGATCAAAAGTTTTCGTTCGTTTGATCAGAAGTTTTTGTTCGTTTGATCAGAAGTTTTCATTCGTTTGATCAGAAGTCTTCGTTCATTTGATCAGAAGTTTTCGTTCGTTTGATCAGAAACAGAAAAAGTTTTTGTTCGTTTGATCAGAAACAACATAATTATTCATTCTCTTGCATTAAGTATCCGAATGATTAGTTAATTCGTAATTCGTATACAACCGTATACGAATTAAGTATACGATTGATCATCCCGCTAGATCACCGGTAGCGGGAAAGAAGCTAGGTACCTATTCAATTGAATCAATTCAGTAGCAAGTTAGCTCACGTGTTATGAAGTTCAGCTAGTCTGAACTCTGAATTGTGTGTTTAAGGGGACCGGCTACCCTAAAATTTTCAATTATGGCGTTTTTCGGTTTTTGTGCTCATCTGAAAGCTGGAATTCTGCTCTTTCCAATGGTACCACTGCCATCGCTATACGCCAATATTTACGTTCATGACGTCTCTTTAAAGGGAAGCGGGTGGGAGAGTTCTTTAAGTAATTAGATATAAAGTAATTAGCTGCTGAAATCTTTGAATATAGTTTCTACTTGAGTTGTGCTGCAGTTACATGCTTAGTCTCATCTTAAAGCTGACATTCTGAGCTTTCCAACGATACTGTTGCGATCCATGTACGGCAATATTGACGCAGATGGCCGGGCTTTAATGGGGGGCGGAGGGTGGACTTCCTTCACTAAATAGACCTAACAAAATTAGAGCGGCAAGACTACATATCTTGGTGTATCTGGCATCTGAGCTCAGTTACCCTCTTAACATTGTACGTAGAGGTGCGCTACAAGTTGCTGCTAGCATCCTTGAGTGGATTAAGCTACAGAAGCCTGTAGTTTGGTATCCATGCTACATT